ATTTAAGCTCTGATATTAATCCCTATTTCAGATTTGGATTTTATTACTAATAAACCTTGGAGCACACACAGGCTATATGTTTCTTCCATGTGGACTTAGCTAACACCACGCTTAAGATGGTGGTTTATTTGATAAGTGTCTAAGACCCCGAGACATTATTCTTTTCTGATACCTGGCACCATCTGGTTTCTTCACCACATTTTGCTATAGAACCCATTATCTTCAGTGATCTCTTCATGAGAGCATGGCTCATCTTTTTAGATGGTCGCTGTATCCTCTTGTTCCTGTTTCAGAGATGTCTCACTTTTATAAACAGTAGAGTAACAAACTGACCATTCCCAAAGCTAAGCGATCTCTAAAACTTACTTGCATGTTTCTACCTAGTTACTAGGTAGACATCACAAAGGTTATTGATAAAAGAGCCACACCAAGTAATTTTACTTCATTGGAGTTAGGGAATACCTGTAGTTAGCTTATATTCTTTGGTTAATAATGCAAAAAAATCTAAATTATTCTGGCTTATGGGTTTCCCAATCATTTTCAGATTGTAACTAGTTTATTTGTGGGTCACCCAGGATGTCTGACTTTGAGTGCATGATTGTAACATCTGGTCCAATAATTTCCTTTTTCTTCAGAATCACTAAAAAAAATGTCTTAGATTTCTAGAGGAGTGCAAAGGCAAAGTAAGAACTCCTTTGCTAAGTAAGGTAATATCCCTTTTGGGTACTAATTTAATGTGAAAAACATCCTGCCTAGACACTCCACCTTTGACTTGTTCCTAGGCTTGTGCCTTACACCATTATTTTTAGGTAGCTGTTGCAATGTTGAATGATTCAAACACTCCAAATTCTCTAACTAACTTGGGGTAAAATTAGTTTAAGTATAACACTTCTCTATGTTCTCAACATCCTTAAATTTTATTCTGGCAATTCTAGTCCTTGTAAATCTAATTTAAATAGATTTTTTTCTCACCTATCAACTAGCCATTTTAGTCATTTTCAGCACTAAGGACATGCCAGAAACATAAAATCTATATATAGTGGTATGTTGATCTACTTCAAATAACTTCTGGATTCACTAACTTTCTCTTGCAGAGGTCAGAAAAGATAACCCAATACCTAATCAACCTGGCATACTTTTCATTCCTAGCAATTCCAACATTTTCACAGGTTTTATCACAATTTTGTTTTTTCACAGGTGTGTTTTTTCACAATTATCATTCCCTACATCTTTGTGTCAGATTTTGGCTTCCAAAACACTATATTTTTCTATATAAGACCTAATCGGTCATACCTCAAGGCTTAGGTCTAGGCCTTTCTATAATCTTTGCCACCAATGTCAATAGCATGCAACTTCAATAACTTTCTGCCTGCCCTTGTCCCTACCTCCAATCCCATCTCTTTCACAACAATGATCTGTTAAAATTGAAATTAGATGATGTCCTTCTGTCTGTGTAAAATCCCTAAGTACTGTATTTGAACTTCAGATCAATTCCAAACTATCCAACATGGTCCACAAAAGTCCTATATGATCTGACTCCTGTTTATCAGAATTGTCTTTTTGTATAATGCTATATTGCAGATTGAACTTTTTTTAGTACCTGAACTATGCCAGATTCTTTCTGGCATTAGATCCTTGACACCTGTTGTTCCCGATTTCTGGATTACTATTTCACTACCCTTTACATAGTTAACTCCTACCTAAAATTCAACATATCTGTTACCTTCTTAAAAGCCTCCCAACCACCTTGGTCAGCAATGTTGCTTTCTTTACCTTTTTCACGATTTGTGATTAAATATTGCAGGGATTGTGTTTGTTTTCTAATGTCTAGTAAGTATATGGAATATAGAGAACTTAATTGTTAGCTTCCCACTTTGACCAGGAGCTACTATGGTGTCTGGCACAGAGTAAAAAAATCAATAAACATGTTAAATAATTGATTTCTCTCACATTAAGCAGACCTACAGGAAAGGTACAAGTTTAACGAGATTCTGTGTTAGGCATAGAATTAGAAACAAAGGAGTGCAGTTACGTAACACAACTATTACTAAAAAATCCGTCTAAAACAATACAGAAGCTCAGTCATAATGCTTTAAATGCAAATAGTCAAGATTAATTTTCCCTGATCACAATTTAGTGGTAAAGTTAGCACCTACCTCAATAATTCAATACATAGTTGTTAATTATCTCTATACCTACAATAGGTCATTCCTCCAAATGGCTTATACATTTGTTATTTAGAACTTGAAAAACAATTTCCCAGAGAAACTGGATTATGCACAGTGTTTAAAAGCCCCTTTGGTTATTTTATAATTTTTAATTCATAATTTTTCATGTATTTTTAAAAGCAAGCTTTGAGCACTACACTTTGTATCAGAACTGTTGATCTCTTTCAGTATTTTAAGAATGAGTAAACTGAGGTAGAAATTCCATAAAGATTCAAGTATAGGCAGACCCCAAGTTATGAAAGTCCAACTCAAGGAAAATTTCCGCTTACCTTGAATGTTATATAATTTTACTCTCACTTTTAAATGACCAGAACTCTGTCCCTACTTGCAACAAATACTTCATTAGAATTTCCCTCGCTGCATGTGCAGCTTTTGAATCATTTGAAAGGTTTACGTTTTTTCTTGCACTAAAAACAAATCTAACCCACTGTCACCCAGTCAATTCCAATTCATAGTCACTCAATACAGGATGTTTCCCAAGACTACAAATCTTCACAAGAGCAGAGAGCTTCATCTTTCTCTCACAGAGAATCTGTTGTATTTGAACTGTTGGACTTGTGCTTAGCAGCCCTACACTTAATCTATGCATTAAAATAAAGTTAATTAGGGAGGGAGCGGAAAAAATGAGGACCTGATGCCTGGGGCTTAAGTGGAGAGCAAATGTTTTGAGAATGATGAGGGCAATGAATGTACAAATGTGCTTTACACCATTGATGTATGTATGGATTGTGATAAGAGCTGTATAAGCCCCTAATAAAATGATTTTAAAAAAAGAAAAAAAAAAGTTAATTAAGAACTGTATGTACCTGATCTGACTTACATAAAACTTGTAAGACACAAGCATGAATTGGGGACTGCCTGAATCATAAACAAAATCTTTTATCCAGTTAAGATGGTCAACTGAGAAATTTAATAAAAACATACTTCCTAAACATTGGGACAAGCAGAGAGCAGCTCAGATTTTAAGTCACTGACAAGCTTTCATAGACTGGACCAGATCTCCAAAATCACAATAACAAGAGAACACACACAAAAAACGTGAAAGCAATGGTAACATTCCAGGAATAACTGAAGAACGCGTCTTATTGATAAGAGCACCCATGAACAAAATGTTACCTCTATTCAACCACTTGTTGGCTTCAAGCTACACAGCAATAGAACGTTTAAACATTATTGTATAACTACTTCTAAGGTTTCTTTCCTATTTCATAGTTATATAATTTTTCAACGCAATCCTATCTCCCAAAACAAATTTTAACTTTGGAGGTGGTGAGTGGGGATGTAACAAGAGGCCACTGATAACATAGGAAATGGCAGGAAGAGACTCCTCCTTATTCCTTCCCATCTGCTCATTGCATCTTATACCAGAAGAACGCAGATGTATAGCAGACCACTCTATCTTCTATTTTACCTTAATTAACCAGCATGCGGGTCAAGATCTGGAGTGAAAAGCAAGAAGATGGAAAATTGAAACTTTTCAAATGGCATCCCTCACAAAGTAATTATCAGAGAAAGACAATCAGCTACTTTATATCTTCACAGTCTGTTGCACTTCCATAAACTAAGGTGGAATAGATGAAAACAGGAACAAAAGCAACTCCCCTCTGCAGTTACTGGCCCATATAGCTAGGGTGATTATCACTAGATAAGGAATGAGGATGAAAACTAAGTCTGTCTATAACTTCAATTTTTAGTCCACTTTATGAGAACAGGTCTCAGTGGTAACTTATGCGGGGAGAGGGTTAATTAAAAATGTTTACTACAGTGCCTTTACTTTTCTGGGTGTGACTATCAGATATATTTAAAGGAACTTTTCAAATTAAATCGTTTATATTCAAAATTTCATAATCTGACATTTCAAGTTTAGGAAAATAAAAAACAGCAATATACATTCAAATCAGAGTTATCAGCAGACAAATGTTGGCCAGAAAGTTACCTTTGAAATAGAGGAAAGGGGGGAGTGGGTTGGGAGGGGAAAAAATGAGGAGCTGATGCCAGGTGGAGAGCAAATGTTTTGAGAATGATGAGGGCAATGAATGTACAAATGTGCTTTACACAATTGATGTATGTATGGACTGTGGTAAGAGTTGTATGAGCCCCTAATAAAAATGATTTTTTTAAATGATTAAACAAACAAAAAAAAAGAAATAGAGGGAAGAGCTGAGAGGCAATGGGCATTTATAGAGGTCTAAATACAGGCATGTACATATGTAAATATATTTATATATGATAATGGGGAAATAGATCTATGTGCACATATTTATAGGTTGGGTATTAAGGTAGCAGATGGACATTGGGCCTCCACTGAAGTACTCCCTCAATGCAAGAATACTTTGTTCTATTAAACTGGCATTCTGTGATATTCACTTTCCAGACAGGATCGTTGAAGACAAAGCGGGTACATAAACAAATGTGGTTAAAAAAGCGCCCAGCTATCAAAAGATATACTGTCTGGGGTCTTAAAGGCTTGCAGGTAAGCAAGTAGCCATTTGCTCAGAAACAACAAAGCCCATATGGAAGAAGCACACCGGCCTGTGTGACAATGAGGTATCAGGCATCAAAGAACAAAAAATCATATCATTGTAAATGAGGGGAAGAGCAGAGTGGAGACCCAAAGCCCATCTGTATGTAACGGACACCTCCTTACTGAAGGGTCATGGGGAGGAGACGAGCCAGTCAGGGTGCAGTGTAGCAACGATGAAACATACTTTTGCCTAATTCTTGGATTGTGATATGATATATGAGTCCACCCAAAATTTTTTTTAAAGTTACCTTTGTAGTTATGTGTGCGTTTTCATCCTCTTCCATCCATAAATCCTGTTCATAATAATATAAGCCATCATTGATAACTTTAGCAAGATCAGATGTAATCTTCGCCCGAGACATGTGATTGCCCGTTCGATCTCCTCCAGGATGTTTTCTCATGTAAGGTGGTGTCTGAGTTACAATCAAAATCTTGTTTAAATCCTGGTCATCAATTTCATAATCTGAATCATCAGACCAATCAGTAAATGTGTTTTTTCGACTTTTTATTTGTTCCATCTCTTCATCAAATAAAAAATCAAGTTCTTCTTGTTCTTGTTCTTCCGAAGGTAATAGTGGATTTAATGCCTCATCAGGTACAGCTGTCGATTCCTAAAGGAATAAGTTGATATTTCATACAAAAACTTTTCTAGTGGTAAAGTTACAACATACAACTTTTCCTCCAGTTCTTTAATGCTTCCCCCCCCCCCCCCTCCACTATCATGACCCCAATGTACCTTATAAATTCTGCTAGACCAGAGCATGTACATGGGTACAGATAAGAGCTGGAAACACAGGGAACCCAAGACTGATAAACTCCTCAGGACTGATAATGAGAGTAGCAATACCAGGAGGAGAAGGGGAAGGGGAAGATGAGGTGAGAAAAGGGCAACCGATCACAATGATTGACATATAATCCCCTCCCTAGGTGACAGACAACAGAAAAGTGAGTGAAGGGAGACGTCAGGCAGTGTAAGACATGAAAAAATAATTGATAAATTATCAAGGGTTCAGGAGGGAAGGAGGATGGAAGAGGGAGGGGAAAAATGAGGCGCTGATACCAAAGACTCAAGTAGAAAGAAAATGTTTTGAGGCTGATGATGGCAACAAATGTATAAATGTGCTCAACACAATGGATGGATATGTGCATTGAGATAAGAGCCCCCAATAAAATAATTTTAAAAAAAACAAAACTTTCCTACCACTTTTAAAACAAATGTCATAGAGGAGGGAAGAGGGACACATAGACACACACACACACACACCCTGAAAGGAGATGAACAACAGAAACTGTGGGGGAAGGGAGACAGAGATCAGAGTCAGGAAGACTGGGCAGGGGGAGGGGGAAAAGAGAAGCTGTTACCAAGGGCTCAATAAAAAGTAAATGTCTAGAAAATGATGGCAACATATGTACAAATATGCTTGATACAATTTGATGTAAGAGCCCCCAATAAAACGATCTTTTTAATAAAATACATACACAACCCAAAAAAAGTCATAAATTTTGTGAGAATTAGCTTACACATTATACATTTAGGCAGACAAAAATTTAGGCTATCAGCCCCCAAAACCCAAACACACGGCCACTGAATTGATTCCTACTCATAGCAACACTCGGAGAGTGGAATAAGGGCCCCATTACGTTTCCAAGACCCCTTATACTATGGAAGTACAACAGAAGCACTAAAAACTCATCCCATCAATTACCTGTGATGTTCCAAGAAAGGAATCAGGACCCTAAATCTCCATAACAAAGAACCAGCTCCCATAAGGTATATGGTTGCGCATAAACAGCCACAGCAGTTACAAAACCACATTACCTTTTATAACCTTTTTACATCTTTAGATGGCCCACAAAGAAACCCCTTCTTTTTCTTTATTATCATATACAAGGGGTTACCTTACAAAAAACAATTGTGCTGGGTGGAGTAGAATGGAGCTTTCTTAGTACACATCCCTGCCCCGCCCCGCCCCGGCAAGCATTGAGCAATTCATTTAGTGCACACAGTGGTGTCTCCTGGGAAGGTTCTCTGGTCAGTCAATTTTTTCATAAAAGCCGTTTCCCTTGACCCTCACTGTTTGTGATGGCAGATTTAAAAGAACAGCGTGCAGCTGTGAAATTTTGTTTCCTGCTCAGGGAAAAATGCCACAAAAACTGTTGTGATGTTGAACACAGCTTAAAAGGGCAGCACTACGTGTACAAGTGGTTTTCTCGCTTCAAAAAGGTGAAATGTTGAATGATGACAAACATTCTGGATGTTCATCAACTTCCTGAACAAACAAAAATGTCAACTCGTAGTGCATTTGGAGTTCATTCCACCAGGTCAGACTGTTAATCAAGGTTCTGAAAAGACTGCACAGCAGAGTGAAACAAAAAAAGGCCTGATTTGTGGCAAACGGCGTTTTGCCACCACAACGCATCTGCTTACACAGCCATTTCAGTGTGCCAGTTTTTGGCAAAATCAGAGCATGCCTTTTAGCCCCACACACCTTACTCACCTGGCCTCACTCCATATAATTTCTTTTTGTTACCGAAAATGCAGAGGCACATGAAAGGACAGCAATAAGACAACATACAAGAGGTGAAGAAAAAAATGAGGGAGGTGCTGTCAGCCATCTAAACAAACGAGTTTGAAAAACGTTTCCAAGAATGAAATCACAGATTTGACAAATGTATTCAGTGTAATGGAGAGTAATTTGAAGGTGATATGGTGGTTTTGCAAAAAAATTTAAATGCTTATCTTTGAAAAAAATTCCGGTTTTTTGGGGGTGCCCCCTTCATATTAAACCACATAAATTTATATAAACCTGACACATACCCACTTATTGACATAAAGAATATTTCCTGTGTTTTGTTTTAAAAAACTAAAAACAAATACTAAGCAAAAGTCAGCAGCTGAGTATATTTGGGTACCCTTTGCACTAACAAGAGAATCCAAATCAAATGTCCAAAAATAAACTAAAAACTTTAAAACCTGATAAAATATAACTTATCTACTATTTGAGAATAAACCATAGGCTCTTACTAAAGAACAAAGAATTTAAATTTACAACTTTCACAAATTTTACACATTCACCTTACACATACAAAATATGCTTGGGGGTGGGGAGTGAAGGAAAGGATCTCATGAAGAATGAAAATGTTTTGGAAATGATCAAGGCAATATATGTACAAATGTGCTTGACACAATTGATGTATAGATTGCTTTAAGAACTGTAAGAGCCCAATAAAATGATTCATTAAAATAAAAAATAACAATATGCTGACCTAACTTACACTGCACTTAGGATGGATCCCATTAGCTGGTCTATCTCAATTTACCTTTAATTTCACTGGTGAATGACGATGTCTCTTTTTCACTTCTATCCAAGGCTCTGAATCCAAGTCAGGCAAACTGGTAGACAAACCTCTAGCCATGGCTTGAAGGTTACTTGTTTCAGTATTTTTCTTTGGAGCCAGTGGACTTCCAATTCTCGGTGAGTTTGGGGCAGACTCTAAAATTTTAAATTAGTTCTAAAGTTAAAATATTACCTTTCTTGATAAAGTAATTTCTTGTTTTCAGCTTGAGAATTTTCTCACAAAAGCATGACACATCAGCATGTCAATGACAATCATCCCAGTGATATTCAAACCTGAAGAGCTTCTAAGATTTATTTGAAAGTGAAGCCACTGAATAATTAAAAGGAATACCACAAATCCTTATCCAGATCACCATATTCACTCACAACTTCTCAAAAACATCAACATGGGTCAATTTCTGATTTTAAGAATCATCTACATAGGAAAAAAGTCCTCTTTGAAATCTTGGATTAAAACAAGAGTTAAACTGAAGTCACACACTAAATGCCTATTTTACATGAGGTAAAATGAGTGTCTCGTTAAACTAGGATATAAACTAGGCAGCACTACTCACACATTTCACACTTCCTTTGCTTAACAACATTTGACAAATGCAATAAATGCAGTGTGTCCACTTCCTATCTTGCCTCATACTGGACACTGAGGAATAGAATGTCACATCATTAAAATGCATACCTTGGCAATAACATTAAACTTCGGGAATTTAAAAGGCCTTTCTCCATATTGTTATTATCTTTTAATCAAAATCTTTATGCACTATATAATTTTCTTCATAAACGTCTTTTCAAAAGGCAAATATTTTGACCTGAAGTGTTGATATTTACATTCATCTTCCAACCTAAAGATGCAATATGTACATAACTTTGCACAAAAATATTTTAAAAACAAGTTTATACAACAAGATTTGAAACATTTTCTCCTCAAAGTCAATTCCTTGAAAATACTGCAGATGAATGTCATATAAAGCTAAAATTTTAAAAGCACAAGCAACCTTTCATTGACTAAATGAACATGCATCTACAATGCAATTGGGATTTTACTCCAAGATTTTACATTCATTTAATATACACCAGAATAAAATGGATCTTACCCAGTAAGTCAGTTTCCGGATTCAATCAGTTTTGGATACAAAATTTACTGTAATACTTTAAAAAGAGGTGTTTTGAAACAACAGCCTTTTTGTTAGTAGTCACAATAAGACTTTTGAGCCCTCAAAATGTGGCTAGTTGGAAGATACATTAAAAATGTACAATAGACTTGTATTTTAAAAAGGAAAATTGTGTCAAATTTTATGATTATTATAATGATAACTTGGTTATGTGGAGTTAGAAGTATTAGTAAAATAAATTGATGATCCATCAGGACCAGTGGTGTGAGTGGTGATACTGGAGGGTAGAGGGAGAGTGGGTTGGAAAGAGGGAACAAATTACAAGGAACTATATGTGACCTCCTCCCTGGTGGATGGACAACAGAAAAGTGGGTGAAGGGAGATGTCGGACAGGGCAAGATATGACAAAATAATAATTTATAAATTATCAAGGGCTCATGAGGGAGGGGGGAGCGGAGAGGGAGGGGGAAAATGAGGACTTAATGCCAGGGGCTTCAGTGGAGAGGAAATATTTTGAGAATGATGAGGGCAATGAATGTACAAATGTGCTTTACACAATTGATGTATGTACAGATTGTGATAAGAGTTGTATGAGCCCCTAATAAAACGATTAAAAAAAATTTTTTTTTCACATTTTACTGCTGCTCTAGAACTTCCAATTAACAGTATACATAGCATCATTTAGTGCACATAAGTAGCCGAACTGAGTTTTTACTGGCAATATAAAAGTTACAGAAATGAGAAAATCATTACCTCCAGGGAATCCTGTTTATATAGTGAATTAAGCTATAAGAATAGATTCAGGACCATCATTGACTCAGTCATCTTGTATAATTATAGTTGAGATTAAAAGACTATATAATAAGCAATTGCATTGAGCTGAGTCAGACTCATTGTGACCCCATACATGTCATGTGGACCTGTGCTCCATAGTGCTTTCTTTCAATGGCTGACTTTCTGGAAATAGATTACCTGGTCTTATCCCCTAAGACACTACTTAGCTCATGTAGTAATCTTAGAACAGCACCTGTCACATTAAATGTCTATATTAAAAATAGTAACAACTGCTTCCCTTACTAGAAACTTAATCTTTTATACCCATTTATCAGTTTATTGTATAATCATCCCTAGCTGTTTGTAAAGCCTCTTACACTTTTATCATTACTACAATCAAAACACATTAGTGTTTAGTGAGGAAATTTTTGAAGAGATTTAGAGAACAATTTTAAAATAATGCTCATCTAAATATTTAAGCCATATGTAATGCTCAGATGGTTGACTATAACCATGTTTTCTTTGCAATAAAATAAATTATTTCAAATTACTTTAAGATTTAAGTATGGTGGTAGGCCCTGAACATCCCATGTCCCAATGAGTTTGAATGATTTGAATTATTGTGACATTAAAATTAGTTACAAATATTTTCAGGTACTTATTTTAAAGCCTGTTATAGTTTATTGGAACATAAAACAGAATATTTTCTTCACTGCTTTCATTTATTAAAAATTATCATTCAATTCTCCATAGATGAACAACAGAATATAGTCCATACATTTGATATGGTTTACACACACACACACTTTAATCTAGTTATAAAAATAAGTTCTGTATAATTACATGGGTTTCTAAATTATGTTTTAAAGGAAATCCCACTTTTCCCCCTAATGATTAAGTATCCTCCCATACATTAAAGAAATAAGATTAGCAGGTACCGGCGCTATCAATTTTTATGAATGATAGCGTTCAGGTTGATATTGTAATACTTCATCCACAGTACTACAAAAACTTATTTCAAACGTAACTTACTATTGTCCCTCAACAACCTTTTCTGGAGCATTCAGGTCCTCTGCTCAGGGTTCCCAGGTATGTTAGGTAACTGAATCAATATAGGGGAAATATGGAAAATTGAAATTATTTTTCCATACAAAGCTCTCAGAAAAGAACCAAGGTGGTGCTGTGGATTAAGCACTCCACTGCTAACTGCAAGGTCAGCGCCACAGGAGAAAGGTGAGGCTATTTACTACCATGAAGATTTACAGTCTCTGTCTGACACCTAAGGTGGTGGGTTTGGAATTTAAGATAAAGTTTTTTTTAAAGAAGAAAAAAGATAAAGATTAAAGTGGTACTGCTTTGCTTTACCCAGAGGTATACATAAACACTGTCTAGACTTTTTTTTTTCTGTCTAGACTTCTTATTCCTTATTTTTGGTAACACCATATTCACCACTGAATTTGGCAAACTTGGGTTTCTTATAAAAGGGTGATTGTAAACACCGGAAATTGAACGACTCTGGAAAAGATTGACTAATGAATTATAGTAACTCCAAAAACATTCCAACTTTCTACATTTCATGATCTATTTGTTCTCTAAACGATCTAAAGAACCTAAAGTTGACTAGTTTCAGGAAATATGTGCATGCATTTTGAGTGTATATTAAAAGCAATAAAAATGTACAAGGCATTCTGATTTATTCTTGTAATTTTATTAACAATGCATAAATGGTTAATGGACAGGCATCACCAATGTGATTGACCTAAATCAGCTACCCTGTGGAAAAAGAATTTTCCATTTCAACTAATTTATCAAGTGCTTGTTTATAAGCAGGTTAAAACTATCACCTTGGACCCCAAGTTTACACAATAAATAAATCTAACTTATACAATCAGCCCTGTGTATTTAAAAACAAAACAACAACAAAAACCTCCAACAATGCTACTTTTCTTCAGTTTTTAAAATACCTACCCAAATTGCTTGCTGAGATTAGAAACAAATTATTTACAAAGAAAATGCAAGATTAAAAAAAATCCATCATCAATGCGTTATTGATGATCAGATCTTCATATTGATGTATCAAAAATACATTTGGATGAAGAAAAATATACCCATGTTCATTTTTTAAATTTCTTATCCCTTTAAGTTCACATTAATAAATCTTAAAGAGTTCATGAGAAACATTGTAACAATGTGTTTTGCAATGTACACTATATTCAAGGGTAAATCAAATAGCAAGAACCTAAAATTCTGGGAAATGCCAGTCAAGTCTATTTCTGCATTACTGGTGTACATAACACTAGAAGCAAAAGATAGAATTCTTGCAGTATTTCCAGGATGATAATAATTAACCTTCCCACAGTGCAACCCAGGCCAAATACAAACAAATTGGGCACCTCCTAGGAAAACAATAGCAGTCCTCTGGTCTGTGTCTCCTCATTGGCACAAAGATGGTTATCTCCACTGTGGTGAGGCCCAACTTCCTTCAAAGGAGTTGGGAGTAGACATTCTGGCACAGAAGGCAGTCCAGGTTGCTTTCACTTCTGCAGCACAACTTGTTCCAATATTTACATTGATATTTCAGTGATTCACCTACTCCACTGCATATTCCGATCAAATGACATCCAAGAGCATCAGTAGATCATCACCCTGACTGAAAAAAGTTTAAGCACACATATTTTTTCCCCAAGAAGGAATGTCTTTAAAATGATCCAGGAGGGGAAAAAAAAAAAAGTAACATTAAAACAGCTTTTGTAAATCCTAAACACACCATTTTATTGAATCCATAATAACCTTATAAGAGACTCAATTCTGCATCAAAACAGAAGTGTTTGTCTTTTCAAATATACTGGCAACAAAATTTAAGGAACTGTAATCCATTCCTTGGGTTTTTCTTCTTTATGCATACATATCTAGATTGTTCTGGTCTGACAAGGTAAAACCTGGCATAATAGATCTATAGACCCCCATTCTACTTATAGCTCTGTGTGAGAGGCAAAATGAATAGAAATTAGAGCATCACATCAGTTAGCTATCCTTCCTCATCCTACTGAATCAAAGTAAACTAAAAAAAAAAGTTAAATGGGACACCAAGTAGCTTTGCCAACTGTTACACTATCTGTTCTAAAAGAAAGAAAGGCTGTTACCTGTATGTGAGCCAAAGGCCTGGCCTGGCACAAATTCCGGGCAGTCAATCAGTTGGGAGAAGTCAGTCTGTGGCACGCTCCGTGGAGGAGGCCCAGGAATTGGCCATTTTTCTGGTTCTATCTTTTTTCTCATTTTCTGGTCCACAATTTCCACTTCTGTGCTATCTTTCAATGCCTAGAAAACAGGAGGTTTAAGCTATTAAAAAACTGAAAATCCACCATTACTATTGTCTTTAAAAATATTTATCTGAGAATTGGAAAAGACTATAGTGCAGTTAATGCTTCCAACCCATAAAAGCATTCTATTTAGAGATAAAAAGGCTACAGTACAAAAATTTAAATCATTTTCCCTGATAAAGTACCTTTAACATCTGAATATCAAGACAGGTAATTAGGTTTTCATAGTTAAAATAATAATTTGAGCATTATTGTATCAACAAAAGCAAACTAGTTTTATTCTCAAAAGCACTGAATGAGATGTAGGCATTTTACTGCTGTAACTACTACTACTAACTACTATTTATTAAACAAGAATAAACACCAATTCCCTAAATAATTGTTAGATATTACCTGTAAATCATGCATGAGGAAACTGAGGGTAAAAAAAAATAACTTGACAAAGATCAAAGATCTAACATCAGGACTCAATGTACAAGCTGTCCTTCACAAAAACACTTTTATTAAGCTATAGTGCCATTCACAAATTGATGTTTTTTAATTCAAGGACACACTAAGAGCATTATGTTAGTAAGATTATATTAGTATAGTCCTTAACACTCATGTTATATTAGAATATATTTTTAAAAAGAACTCCTTGTATGGGAATCAGGATTTCTTTCTCAGCCTTGGAAGCTGAAATATAAAATGGAAGAAGAACATTGTGCTCCTGGGTTTGAACTGTTACTTTCAATTTTTTCCTAACATATATTTTCTATTTTTATCCAATGAAGGACTCCAGTAACTAAAAATAAATTCAGTATCCAGATCTTGGTGTCTACCATTCCCCCACTTAAAAAAAGATCGTTCTTTGCAGAAAGGATAAATTTCAGGTCTGGAACTCCTTGTGACAGAGAACAGAAACAGATAAAAATGCAGGCACTGGCTAGAAGAGGTTCCACCTACCAAATTATAGTCTGCGCATCCACTACAATGGCCATTAAGGATTCTAGCATCCTGAGTTTTTTTAAAAGGGGAAGAGAAGAAATGGGGAAGGGGAAAACCATAGCTGATAAGCTAGTACATACAGAAGTACTGAATGAATCAAAGAAAACAAGGAGCCCTGGGTGCGTAGAGGTCTATGTACTTGGCTGCTAACTGCCAGAAAAAAAATATTCCATTTTTGCAATCATTGATTCAATTACTGAATTAGGTAAGGGTTGTCCAGCCCTGCAAATACCATTAGCAAAGGCTGTTTAAGGACAGAATATAAAACATAAAACTTTCTACAATATTAATTTTGAAAGGGAAAGGTCCTTTCAAAACTAAGGAATCTGGAAGATTCCCACGCTAAGTAAACAAATTTAGGATTAGCAATAGGAGAAATTTGACCTCTCACTAAAATGCTTGGGAATTACACATCAATCATGCATTATTCTTGCAACCTTTTAAACTAAACTTGAGGGGCTGCAGGGTTTAAGATATGTCCAAATTATGGGTTGTTCTTTTAAGAAACTCTTTCAAACATGTCAAAGATATAGAATGTGAAGTAGAGTGTGAGGGGTACTGCTCTAAATGCAATCCAAGAGACATCCTGGGGTCATTTAAAAACACCACCACCACCACAATGTCACAAGATATTATGTTTCCAGCAACTATCAATGAGAGAAAAGATAATTGCAGTATCTCCACAAAAATGGAATGTTACAAAGTCAAAGAGGGAGAAACTGCTGCTTCATATATCATGAGTAAATCTCAACACAGGGGTCATCGTAGAAAGTCAGTGAAACAAAGGACGGCCCTCAATGAGATGGATGGACACCAGTGACTCCATGGACTCAAACAACAATTGCAAGATGGCATGGGACTGGATAGTTTATTCTGTTGAATTTACTCAACAACATCTAACAACCACATCATGTTCACTAGTTTGCTTTTACTTCTTTTCCTTTACTAATCTCAGTTAAGTCAGAGTGGCTTGGTTGTTGATAAGAGCTGAGTCCAGCCTCAAAATCTGGATACTGATTTAGTGAAAACAAGATATATATTAGGAAGTGGCACTGTCATCTCCCTAGGGAGCTGAAGCGTTGGGTTGTATTTTCACATCCTGGAGGAAGTACAATCAGAATATTCCTTAGAACCAAGATGGAGCTGAAGCGTTGGGTTGTATTTTCACGTCCTGGAGGAAGTACAATCAGAATATTCCTTAGAAACAAGAATGGTGAGACGTGGTCTCATGTATTTTCGATAGACATGCTATCAGGAGAGACCAGTTCCTGGGGAAGGACATCATGGTTGGTTTAGTAGAGTCAACAATAAAGAGGAAGACCTTCAACAATCTGGACTGAAACAGTGGCTCAAATATAAGAACAACTAACTGTAAGGATAGTACTGGACCAGGCACTGTTTCCTTGTGCTACACACAGGGTCACTATGAGTCAAAAGCAACTCAATGGCACCCAACAACAATAACGGCATCCTCAGAGAGACAGGGTATTATTAAGGAAAACCCCTTGTATTTTGTGTCTTTTAAGACTAAAAACCTTCACTTACTCAAATACATTGAAAGCTTGATGAGAAAAATAATTTAAAAAAAAATAAATCCTTGAAAACGAACGCTCATAGCAAGAGTCCTTGGTTGCTATTTGAAGACAAGCATTCTACTTTTGGCCTTCTAATTACAACCTTGGAAATTCATTGAGGCAGTTCCACTCTGCCCTCTCAAGTCATTAAGAGTTGGAAGTGACCCGAATGCTAGTGAGTTTTACATGCCAGAAAATTGTCATAAGCACGTTTCACTCATACTAACACTGTGAACTAAATATTATTAAGATTCACAGAACATTGTCTCAGAATATTGCCCAAAGTCACAGAGCTTTAGGGGTGTGTATTTAGTCTCCTAAGTCATGCTATTAATCTTTGTGCTCATAGTGCAAAGCTTATGGAAGCCTTACCTTTTGGGCAAAAAAAGGACATCTTTCTCACTATTACAAAAACTAGGTCCATAATGGATGTTAACCCAGGTTTATATTTTCCTAAATTGCTCAGATTATGTCTGTACCACCAACTTCTATACAAATAATGCTAACTGTAACAGAATCAGTATTCACAGATTTCCTTTTACATATTTCTTCTATCAGAGGTTTTGGAGCCAAAGGATTAACAATCTAAAAACGAGGCTGAAAAAAAAATCAACAGTCCAAAACAAGTATACAATAAAGAAATTACAATTACATTTCTTCATAGAGAAGTATAGAAAGTGACTTCCTTAAACGCTTCCTCCCCCCAACTACCAGGACCCCAGTTTCGCCTTGCAGACCTGGTTAGACCAGATGATGCACAGCGGTACAGAGGGGAATTGGAAGC